GTGCAGTTTTTGCAGCAATTATGCACTGAATTTGAGGTTATGATTGGGGAGAAGCAGATCATTTAGAAAGGAGGATCATTTGATAAGCCAAGGAAAAAGTCTAAGAGTGCAGGAAAGTAGAGTTTAAAGTTAGGTTTTGTATTTTTCTACATTTTTTTGGATAGAATTGGAGGATATCGTAAAGGATTGTTGTAAGCGGTGCAAGAAACATATGTCGATCCTTTAGGGAGGAATTTTTACTTCTTTTCTAAGAAAGAAAGATAATTTTTCATTCTAAATTTTCTTATATTAGTTGTAAACTCATTTTGTATGAATTTGCTTTATGATTCAATAATGGATTGTTGTGTTTTCTTCATGCACTGTGTGTAGATCCTTTTTACCTTCCTCTTGTGATGAAGTAGTAGTAGGTGTAAAAATGTGGATACATTTAGAATGAGTTTTTATTTATTATTGTGATGATTTTTACTTCCTGCTTCATTTACTTATCAATCTGGTCAATTTGTATATTAAAATATGTTGTGATTCCATAAAGATTCGAGAGGGTTGTGGCTTTAACAGCTAGTAGAAACCATATTGCACTGTTGGGTGAAGGAAGAGTAATCCTTAGGGTAGTGCAAATAGAAAAGGAGATAGGTTTTAATGGGGGTAACTTGGAGGTTTCTTGGGTGACAGACAGAACCACTTACTTAGTTAAACCAAACTTCTTTATACACTTGAAAGAGGGTAAAGCAAATGAATGCTCTTATTTGTCACTAATTACAATCTATATTCTAAGTGTTCCATTACTACAAAAATTACTTATTTCATTGCAAGGGAATGGTATTTTTCATCACTTGATCTTTCTTAACTTATTTAACTTTAATAAAATTAACTTTAGAGTATTAACTTTAGAGTAAATCTATAGATAGGTTTAGTGATATTTAGGTACAATTTACAAGAACAATTTAAATTGATTTTATTTTCAAGCTAAGAATCTTTTTAATATGCTAAAACTTTTCTTAAGAACAACCCTATGGGATCGATACTCTAGACTAAAAAATTGATATTACTTGAACGATATGCACACTTGCATAAAATACTTATCGTGTAGTGCTAAATTGTAGTAAAACTCAAGTCATAAAATTTATAAAACTTATTTTAGATTCCAATTAGTTCATCCAAAAACACTAGGGCATTCGATATGTCGGTCAAGTTTTTTGCACTGTTGTCATGGATCGAACTCGGGTCACCCGCATGACAGACGGGTATAGTCACTGAGCTCCTAGTGTCTATATGGATGCTTTCCACCTGATAATTGTTGAGTAAAGCCATACTAACAATTGTATCATTATAAAGGTAACCTTTTTTCCAGCAAATCCTCATTTGTGAACATGATGGGTGGATGTGTAGCCCTCTGTGGGACGAGAGTGGTGACACATAGTTCTCCGGACTGAACCCTTTTTAGGCTTGTTCGATAGGTGGAATCTCTACCGCCTCTAAGTATTGCTGGTATTGTTCCTGCAATTTGGATGGTATTCGCTCGGACGGGTTCATTAGATGTTATGTCTGTTAGGGCTTTCCTTGCTAAGAAGTGGTTGTTCAGGCAGTGATTGTTCAAGAGGCTATGAACTCTTTCAGCTTTCAACCCTTGATAAAGTCCTTGTCAAGTCTTTTGAGGTGCCTGCATTTTTTTGTGTCATGGTCGTGGTCTCTGTGGTAAGTGCAAAAAATGTCTGGGTTTCATGTTGAACTCCCTACCCTCATTGGGTGAGGTTTTTTGAACTATTCTTTATCTTGGATGGCCTCTACTAGTTCGAACACTGAAATTCTCAGGGGAGGTCATCCTAAGTGGTTCATGTTGTGTCAACTATCATTCATCGTAGTGGGTTGATCGTCGATCAGGGTAAGGAGACCATCCATCTCGATTGTTGCCCTTAGCATTCCCTTTGTTATTATGGTGTGGTTGGTTGTTCTTGCAACGAGGATGAATATGAGGGTGATGGCGTCTTCTCTCTCCAACCATCGTTCATTGGTGCTCTCTTTTGTGACTGGGCATCAACAGTTACTTTTCAAGCTTCTTCTCGATCGTTGAGGATGTATTCCTTCACGACAATATGAAAGTTGACCATCTCCACTAACTCAACCATTGATTTCAGCTCACATAGGCCTAGGGCATATTTGAAGTGTTCACTTTTTACTCCCTGTGATAGATTAGTTTGCATGATCAGGGATTCTAGGTTCTGATTTTCCAACATTTTCCACAGGAACTTGGTGGTGTACATGCGGAGGGTCTTTCCATCTTTTTGTTTCAGCTGCAAGAGAGCTTGTGATTTCTTCCGTGGTTTTTGTGCACAGATGAAGTGGGCTATGAAAAACCTTTTGAAATCAAAGAAAGAGGGGATGGCTCCTACCGGAAGGGCAGTGAACAACCTAAGGGCCGACTCCCTCAGTGTGGTAAGGAACAACTGGCTTTTGAACATGGTGATCTTCAGTATCCTTACCGCCGACTCAAAAGTAGCTACATGGTTGCTAGGTTTGGTGAAACATTTGTAGGAAACAAGTTTGAGTGTTTTGAACTTTTATGAGGGCTCAGCCTCAGAGATTTATCGGGAGAAGGTATTTTTGTTTTTTTGCAGAGCAATTGTTCACGTGGTATGATGTCATTCTACTGTGGCTGACTCAGCGGTGTGTTGGTTGTGGCTGTCCTCAACTCTGTCTTCAATCATTTAAGCTCGTTGATGGTTGGGCACCCATCCATCTAGTTGGTCGTTGGGTGTCATTTTATCCCGGGCGATGGGGCTCTTGATGGCCGTATCTCTCGAGGATCTGACTCTGCGGGATTTGGCTGCCTCTGGCCAATGTTTCTTGAAAAGCATCTAACCTTTGCTCTCTCATTTCTAACATCAGTTGTTCTTTTATCTCCATCACTTGTTGCCGAACAATCTACCTTGTGTTATCGACGTCCACTGTTTGGCACCGAGTTTTTTTTTTGTGTTGCAGTTCTTTCCATGTGTTGCGCTCCTCTTATTATTGGTGGCATTATTCCATGATCACCACACCTTTTAGATTATTGAATTCTAATAAGTTTGGGGAATCTCACCCTATGAATAGAGCGTATATAGAGGAGAGTAAGGAAGTAAGAAGTAATAAACAGTAAAAATGAGAGCATCTAACCCCTTTATCATAAAATTTTCTCCTATTTTTAGGTATAAGAGATACTTGAAGTGCATAATTACATCTATGTTCTCCTCATATATAAAGAAGCTTAGGGTATTAAGGTCATTTGTACAATAAATAAGCAAATAATAATGATTAAAAATATATTGATAATGAATTTGATTAGCCGATCATTATAACTCCCAATCGTTGATTCACATTTAGTGATGAAGGGTCTAATCACATGCGAACGACATAGAGAACCCTCGACCAAACTCATCCGTGACTTTGCTTCAGCATTCGATCAACCTCCTTCGTTCGGTCGGATGTAGAGTCGCTCTCCCTTTGGCCAGATGTAGAACCGTCCTTTATTCGATCAGATGTCACTCTTCGTTCAGTCGTGTGCTTCAGTTGACTTACCAATTAAAAGAAATAAATTGTTAAGGTTTTGGGAGACTTTTTTCCTTGACTTAACACCAGCTTTTACTCTGATAAAGTAAATCAACGTTTTATTGATCTTTATATAATTTGACTATTGGTCCCAATTTATTTGTTGTGTATATACATTTTTCTTTGAGATTGGTGCTGTTGAGATCATGTTATATAAAAATTAATAAAAGTTATTTGTTTGTATTAATTCTGGTTAGCAACCATGCTTATTTATGAAATCTTCATGTGAAATTTAGAATTGCAGCAAATATAATTTTTGTTAGGCAGGGGGTGACCCTCTCAAATGGATATCATGGTTCGTGAAAATTGGATCACAAATCAAATCAGAAGAAGGAAATGTTCAAGGTTCAGTGACTCAACTGTAATTGATCCAGAGGTTGAATCCAACGCCGTTATAAAATTTTAAATTATTTTAAAATAATTTAAATTAAAGAATAATGATATATTAATATCAATTTTATCGATTTAAGAAATAAAATTTTAATGCAAGATAATAATTTTGAATATTTTGAACAATATTCTAAAAAAAAAATATTGTATTTTATCTATTTTTAACTTAAATATCTTATTTCTTTCCATCCAATTGAAATCAAAAGACAAAAAAAAACGATAATATTTGAATCAGTCAGTTCTTTAAAAACTACCCAAGTTCTTCGATTTAATCCTGGTCTAATGCAGAAATTGCTCTGAGCTTGAACCGAATCTGTTGAAAGACCTATTTACTATTGATCCGGTCAAACCGGTTGGTCCGATCTGATTTTTAAAATATTGGTGGATATCATAAAAAAATTTATTTTATGACAAGATTAACATTAGAATTCACTAATTTTGAATTATTCATTCTATTTTCATTCAACATCTCGAACATTTGCACACATAAGAGCATTCATTCTTTCGATACTTTTAATTATTTTATTTCAAAAAATTGGATGTAATGTTTTGATAATCTTTTTATATATATAAAAAAAACTAAAATTGTTTCTAAAATTAGTTGCCTAGAAAAAAAAAAAAACATTAATAAATAAAAATAAATCCATCCACCAAACGGATAAAATCATATAAAAATAAATTGAAATTTTATCACCACTAATTTCAAATTAAAAATATCATTAAATGCATGCCACTCAAATCATACTTATTCATAAGTACAACATCTAATCTCAAATCAATTTGCACATGCCTCAATTAAACAAAAAAAAAGCTTCTAAAAAAAATAAATAAATAAAAATAGAAATTCAAATTTCTCTATCAACTTCAACATCTAAATATAAATAAAAGAATTGAACTTACATAAACAATACACATCATCTAAGAACCATTTCATAAAAAATCACTCCTAAAAATCATAAATTTTTATTGATCCTAAAACCCTATAACTATATATAATATATAAATAAAAGAAAAAAAAATCCCCCTCTAAATAATTCCCATAAAAAATCTCTCATATAACTTTATCCCCTCACAATTAAGGGAAATATTTGCGTCTGTAATACGCACGTAATTCTGCGCGCGTACTCTATTAACCCCGCAATACCTTCATAATAACATATGAATAACATCTAAATAAAGTCCGTGAAGGTTATTAGGATTATATGTTATTAGAATTAATACTCAATAAACTCTCAATAATCCCCTAATAACCGCGAAGCGGAGGTTATTGCGGGATTATTGACGTACACAAATATTTCTCTACAATCAAATAAAAAATGCTAAATTAAAATCACCCAACCCGAACCGGAAAAGAATCAATCTCATCCATCCATGGATTCTTCTCCTCGACCGGTTCGACCGTCCTCAACGCCTTCCAAACCGCACTATTACACTTAAAACCCGAACCGAATGCTATCTGCCATGTCCGGTTCCCCTTCTTCATCCTCCCCTTCGCCTCCGTGTACGCCATTTCATACCACAACGAACTGCTGGAAGTATTCCCGAACCTATATAGCGTCATCCTCGACGGCTCCATGTGTCTCTCTGTCAGCCGGAGGTTCTTCTCCAGCTCATCCAGCACTCCCCTGCCGCCGGCGTGGATGCAGAGGTGGTCGAAAGCCAGCTTGAAGTCCGGGATATAAGGCCGGAACTTTTTGATTCGGACGAGGCGGCGGGCGACAAGCGAGGCGAAGAAGAGGAGTTGTTCAGAAATTGGGAGGACGAGGGGGCCGAGAGTGGTGATGTTGGTTTTGAGTGCTTCGCCGGCGACAGACATGAGGTCTTTCGAGAGGGAGACGCCGGCGATGCCGTTTGGGTCTTCGGATTGGAGGACGCAGTTGTAGGAGCGATCGTCGGAGCCTTTGTGGGTGCGGACGGTGTGGAGGAGCTGGTATTTGGAGAGGCGGCGATCCGGGCGGCGGTTGGAGAGGAGGATGGCGGCGCCGCCGACGCGGAAGAGGCAGTTGGAGAGGAGCATGGAGCGAGTGTTGCCGAGGTACCAGTTGAGAGTTATGTTCTCTGTGCTGATGATGAGGCAGTAGGAGTTGGGGTGGACCTGGAGTTAATTAATTTTTCATTTTAATTATAATAATTGAATATGATTAAGGGGAATTTACAGCATAGCACCCAATTATTATGTATTTACATATCTAACACTCAAATTCTCATTTTTAAGAAAAAAATTTCTATCCTAAGTCTGGACGTAACTCTACTTGCAAACTCTCGTTAATATACCACCATGTGTGCTATATCAAACCCACCTAAAAAAATTTAAAATGAAACCGTGAACTCTGCGATAATTCCGAAATAACCTCCACGGCTCCATTTCAATAATCCCAAAATATCATCGTGGAGGTTATTGAAGAGAAACCAATATATTCCACTTCAAAAACCCTGAAATAATTTAAAAATAACCCTGAAATAACATACGGTATTATTTCGGGATTATGAAAATGAAACAGTGGATGTTACTTTAGAATTATTTATATGTTATTTCGGGTTTTTAAAATAAAATATATAAATATCTCTTCAATAATTTTGAAATAACTTTCACGATGTAGCACACATTTAGAATCCGCACGAACAAAGTCTGGACGGAAAAAAATTTCCCCTTTTTTTCAGTTAAAGGATAAATTTCTCGAAATTTAAAGCACAGTGTACAGGAAATTCAATCTGGCCAACCCCACCTACTTTAAAGACTTGATTTAGGTGTGTGTCAGCATTATATATCTATATATGCTAATTATTTTAATGGTGAGATTTATGTAAAGATTAAAAAAATATTAATATAAGAAATTAAATGAATAAAAAATGAAGAAAGGATATTTCATGGAATTTTTAAAGAGGGATTCATTGTAGATTATTAGTAGAAGGGAAATGTCAACAAGTTATAAGAAAATATGAGTCAAAAAGCCGAGGAACAAAATCCCACCAGCTCCGGAAAATAATTATACAAAAAGATAAAAGATATTGCCCGACTCGTTGCTTACGAATAACTCATATTCGGCTTGTTTGCTAAGTTAATGAGCCGAGCACGAATAAATATTTCGTTCGTTCGTGTTCGACTCATTTTAACTCGAAATACTACTAATCAATTATATATATATATATATGTGATGAATAGTATTTTTTTAAAAAAATTAATTGACTACAAAGTTACAAAGATTTATAATTAATTAAAAGTATTGATGAAGAAAATAGAATAAAAATTATTAAATTAGATTCAAATGATGTTTTAAATCTTATCTCAATCCTTAAATCTTATGGCTATGTGATTAATTTTGTCAAAACGGCTTTTTGTTCGTGAACGGCTCGTGTTCGGCTCGCTAAGCAAACGAGTCAAACACGAACACACCTTTTGAGCTCGAAATATAAACTAGCCGAACGCAAGCCTAAGCCTAGGCTCGCTCGTGTTCGGCTCGTTTACACCCCTACTTTTCAGCCATGTAACAAACTTTTTTTTTTCCTGAAATAAAAATTAGTTCTAGGAAATTTACATAAATAGCACACAATTCTTATGTATTTACATATCTCACTCCTAAAAGTTTATATTTACATATGTAACACTTTTGTTCTTTTAAACATAAACATGAAAAGATATACTTCATTCTTAAAAAATGATAACAATATTATATTTATGGTATATTAAAGATTTTAGTGCTATCTACATAAATATGAAAGTTTGCATGTGAAACATATAAATACATAAGAATTATGTGCTTTGTACGTAAATGCACCCTTAAAGTCATTTTTATAACAAATAAATAAAAAAGAAAGCTTTTAATGAACTATTTATGAAAAATAATTTCTCCCTCTATTTAATATTTGTCCCACACAAGCCAACGGTCCTCTTGCCCAATTTATGAATGCCTCCACACCTACATTTTATTCCCACTAGTCAACGCTTTTTGGACAAAATATATTCCATTAAAAACGTGTTTAAAAAAATAATTTTCAATTATATTAAAAATATTTAGTAAAGATATGTAAATACATAAGAATTGGGGGATGCATATGCAAATAAAGATATCATGTACCCTAAATATAAACAAACCTGTAAAAGTTGCTTGCCAAGGTCTATGGAGATGAGGCCAGCACTGCAGCCCATGCCACCCAGATTATAGCTAAGAATGTTACTCCTAAGCTTGTAGTGATTGACAATCATGGCGGTGAGTGATGGGGTAGGGTTGAAAAGGCTACAGTTAACTATAAGAATACCAATGTCCTTGGCCTTCACCCTTGTCTTGGCCAAGAGCTCATCAATGGCCCCAAACATCACCGCCTCGGCCTCCTTCCTTGCCTCGGACATGCACGGATTCGCCGGAATTCTCGCTATGGATTCCGGAAGATACGTTGTTTCTCCCAGCCCTGACCGCTCGATCACCCTTTCCTACAATCAACATAATTTCGATGCTTTTGTCACTACCAATTTTATATTTGTTTATCAAACTTTTTTAGGTTTTGGATTGTATAAGAAAATAAATACATGTTTTGATGTCATTTGGAGATTATATAGTTGGGATCTCCCTTTTAATTATTTTTAGATTGTAATGTCATGATTTATTAAAAAAATACAAATGATAATACCTATGTTATTAATAAAACACACAAAAAATTGAAAAATCTAATGAGGAGGTGCCACATATGCAATGATCCCACTATAATGTCACGTGACACTTCCCATTGGGTAATTTTTTAATTGATTTCCACACACAAATCTTACTTGAAATGCTAAGCTTTCCTCCGTAAAAGCTCCGGTGAGCTTCGCCCTCTGTATATACCCTTCCCTCGTACTCTTCTGCTTCTCCTCCGGCTTATAACAAGAGAAGTCCAGCAAATAAACCGGACGCGGACTCTTCATAACGTAAATGGTGGAGAGGAAGACAATCAGCGCAGAGCAGAGCACAACAGAGATAAGATTGTACTGAAGCTTGTCCCATAGGAGCTGGAAGTCATCCGCAGTGAGAGCCGAGAACTTTGCGGAAGCGGCGGCGAGAAGAGGAAGGAGGAGGAGATACATGGCGTGTGAGACCAAGTAATGGTAGCCGAGCTTCACGTGTTTGAGATTCATGGATTGGGTGAAGCAGGGGAGACTGTGTTCTTTGTTGGGAGCTGAAGCTTTGTCCATGGTGGGAGGAAGAGATGAGGAGAATTTGGGTGAGAAAGGGGGGAGTGGAGAAGGAGGGGTTAAATATGGAGTTTGGGAAGGAGGTGGGGGGAGGAGATGCAACCACCCCAACCAACTGGTTTTATGAAGATTGGGCGGACTATCAAAAGGCATTCGTTTAAGTTATCGAAGTCTTTATTATTATTATGATTTCCTCTTTTCTTTTTTGTTAATTTATGTAATTTGTTAATGCTTAGTAATGAAATTTATGCTCTTCTTCGGCTCGTTTATATTTCAAGCTAAAAAAATGTATTTGTGTTCGACTAGTTTGTTTAGGGATCTATTCAAGGCAAAGAGTCGTTTTAACAACGCTAATCACGTAGTCATAAGATGTTAAGGACTGGGGCAAAGTTTAAAAATTATTGTTTATATTAAAATATTTTTTTAATCTATTTTAATAATTTTATATTATTTTCTTAATTAATATTTTTAATTGATTATAATAGGCCCCATGAAGAGAGCCCTCATCATGTGCCTAAATATTCGAGAACCCAACATCACTAGGAATCAAACCCATGACCTGAGATGACTTACAGTGAACCTCGCCAACCAGCAGACCATGACTTGCAACACTATATTTGTTTCAAACCCAGGCTTGGATGTGAACTTCCCTTGGGTTCCCACTGTTGTGATTCTGTCTCTTTTAGGATGCAACACTTACAATTTTGCAGGGTTCGAAATAATTATACAACTAATGTTTTTCCAGCGGCCTAAGTGCTTCCGGGAGATGTCTTTCTGTCTACATGTTTTCTTTTGGGTATATTTTTCTCAATTGGTATAAGTTTTGTTTAAATACATGTTCTATGGGTATGTTATACATTTTTCTTTCATTTTCAATTTTCTGCGTGGAGTTGTAATGTGGAAGGAGGAACTCTTAGATGCTTAATGTTTTTACTTTACTTTTTAGATGGGGATCCACTTTCCCTCTCTCTTTTGTAACTGTTTTTTATATTAACACGTAAGGAGCCACGAACTGTTCTTTCCCAATATATATATATATATATATAAAAGCCAAAACGAGCCGAACGCTAATGAACAAATTTATGTTCGTATTCGGCTCGTTAACTTAGTGAACGAACCAAACATGAGCTTCTTAAACAGCTTAACACGAGCTGTTCGCGAACAACGAGCCTTTTTGACAACCCTACTTAACATATTGATAGGAAGGAAAATAAAAAATCCTAAGGAGAGAATATTATGTCCGCACGTTCGGAAGTAGGAGTGTAAATTAATGGAGTCGAGCCCGAGGCACCCTCACCTTGAGCTTCGTGGCTTCAATCTCCACAACCTTCCACGAACATGAGCCCTAATTTTTATTCATGCCAGGCTATTTTTCTTGATCTTCCCATCTCCTATGGAGAGATTCTGCAGCTCCTTTCAGCGATATTTACAACTTCGTTGGTTGTTGCAGCTGGTGGTTCGCAAGCTCTATGGTTGTAAATTTTTCTCATTTCTTTGTAAATTCATAAGAATTGGGTGGTATGGTTGTAAATTCCCCAAACAAAAAATATATGCAACAATCATAATTTCTAGTTTTTGCTTTAGCAAATGAACTCATCTAAATGGAGCAGAGGCATCGTGACACATACTGGTGGACTTCCGATATGATGCAACATTTTCATGCTAAATAAGAATCAGTGTGTAAAACAACGTAGTATGCATTGCTTTTTTCATGATGCTTCGTCAGAAGCATGTTCCATTAATGGATGGCGGTGCAATGGCCGTGTGGTGTCGCATCGTAGTTTTTTTTATTTGACAAAACTGAGTTTTCCTGCATTCTCAAAACGTTGTAGCTAAAGCTGAGTTTTCCCATTAGATTTGGCTGCCCGCAGTATCTACTAAAAATTATAGTCATCACAGTTTCTAAACAATAACTTCTTCTTCAACAGCTTCACAATAGTTTCTTCAAATAGCTACAGCTGCCTCAAACTGACCACAAGGGTCGTTTGGTGTGATTTTTTTGACGCGGTGCAGTGTGAAAATGCAGAAGATGTCATTTGAAAGTTGCGATGATGCAGCTTTATTAGAAAAACCATATGAAATGCGGGTAGGGGTTCGACCCAGCGATACTGCGTGATTCTTTTACAACCCTATCCCATAGCTCATGTCATTCCATGTGCAGTCTTAAGAAAACAAAAAATAAAAAATAAATAAAAGAGTAAAACAAAAGGAAGGATGAAAACCTCTTACAAAATTGTTTTCTCCAAAAACTTCAATATCAAATCATTAACAAAATTAAACTAAAAAACTTAAGAAAACTTTGACTCATGATACCGCAATTCGATGTACTTGCTTTGTGTATATATTTTTTAATTTCAGTCCTTGGTAAAGGCGCCAAAAACTTGACTCCCTTTCTGTGTTGAAAATATAATTTTATGACTTTATGGCGGCTACTCATAGTGATGTAGGTAATAAATTTTCTAATTATTGATTTCAAAGTTTCACTAGGATTGAAACACAAGTGCACGTATCACTCAAGTAATATAGAATTTTTTTTAAAACACCAGCATCGATCTCACAGGGAAGGTGAAAACTCTTTTATGAACTTAGTAACACCTTTTTTAAATTCCAAACAATTATCTAGAAAATAAAGTCTCAAGTTTATGTGTAAGAAATAACTAATTCCTACTAATTTAGTTTCAAAACTTACAGAAAATGCTAAGTGTTTCTAAAATAACTTTTACCTAAAAGAGTTCAAATTATATGAAAGTCTTCCCCTTGCAATGAGATCATAATCAGTGAAGAAATCAAATATTTAAAGTTTAAACTTGCTATTGTGACGAATAAGAACATACATATTCTTTACCCTTTTCCGAATGCGTAAAGAATATTGGCTAACTTAGAGTTAAGTCCTCAAATCCTGTCACTTCTAGATTACCCATTGTGCCTTCTATTTAAGACTAACCTTGCCTTAATTTTTAAACTCTAGATCAAATTGATTGAGGTTCTAGCCTTTCATCATAGAATCCCTAATTTACACCCATCAAAACTTATTTCCCTATCTATTTGCACTAACCTATGAGCTACCTTATCACCCACTAGATTAATGTGATTCTTACTAGTTGAGAAATACATAGCCCTCCCGGGTCATTAGAGATCCATAATAAGTTTTAACATACCAATGGACTAGATTAAATATGTAAATTAAGAATGAAGTAATGAATCATCACAAGTATGAAACAAGAGAATTTTCAAACAATTATAACCCTACACATGATTATTTCTTATTGCAAGGAGAAAGATAAAAAAAAACTACTCAGACTTCATGGGGTTAACGCAACAAAACATGTTTATATTAAAATTCAATTTTACACAATAAAATAGAATATAAAAAATATAAACTACTTATCTCAGACTCCTCCCCAAGCAAACCTTGAAGTTCCTTTGAAGTATTCTCCAAACTCTTCTTACACACTCACACCAATAGACTTAACTCAAGAGACACTCTTGGACACACTCACTCCTCACGCTACAACAACCCCTCATAACAACTCTTCACAACCCCCACCACAACTCTTCACAACCCCCCCACACATTTTCCCCTTGCAGATCTCTTTTAATATAGATCTCCAAATTTTCAAGAGTCACTTCAGATGTCCTATCAAAATATGTTCAAATACATTTCATATTGGCAAAAATTAATCCTGACGCCTGGGCGCTAACCTTCTGGAAGCCTAACATAATTGCATCGTGCCTAGGCACCAGATCCTAACACCATGGTGTCGGGCTCTCTGTTTCATGTACGGGGTCTGGCGCCTAGGCGTCCATTTGACCCCATTTTGCTGCATTTTTACTTTTTTTCTCCAAAACTCTCTTGTACCTATAATAAAAAATAAGCAAAATATCTTCCATTAAAGTGCAATGTCATTAAAAATAAGTATAAATTGTATATATAAAAGTAACACATTTTAGGAATGTCAATTCCCCACCACGCTTGACGAACCTAGGAAACAAAACAAAACATAAATTAAAATATTGAACTTTAAGTAATATTTAGAACAAACCATGATAAAGAACAAGAACAAAACCTAAGTAAACCTGGCTTGAACTCTAGGTTAGATAACTTAGACACCAAAATCGAGGACCACACATTTACCTTAAGTTAGTTTAAGTATAGAAACCTGTGCTAGTTTAATAAGTACTCTAGTCAGTACTAAATACTAGGACATACAAAACAAAACACTCACCCTTGAGACTAGAGGGAATACCTTAGAGTGATGTAACACATGGTTACTAACGAAAGTATTTCAAATCGCATCTAGACTACAAATCCTCCTAGCTATGACAATCAAGGGAGATTCCTAATTATGAGCTTGGTTATAGTTGACATATATCAATATCCTCAGGACGACGAAAAGTCATGAATATCTTGACCGGGAACATTATTCCTAAAGTCTAGGTTAGTACATCTATTAAAAATCCTTGTAGAGTCTATGCTTTCATTTAAATCTAGAAATACTATTCGCATGGCTCTGACTTTTAGCTTAAAAATTTAAATCATTTCTATTTGTCAAATTAAGTATTCCCAAGTCACCTGTTGACCTCACTTGATCAATTCAAACTCATTAACTCTTCAACCATCACTCTTCAGGTATAAACCTTCCCCATTGGGAGCATGAATCCCTGCTTTTAGGCCTTTTCAATGACACACCATCATTGAACTATAAATCCAGTCCTTTTAAGCTTAATTATTCCAACTTCGATCCTTTCTTATCTTCGATTATGAAAGTCCAAGCTTTGATGATTTGACTAATTACATAAACTGAGAGTTTTCTTTAAAGTTCATGGTTCTAGAGATGTAATTAACATTGAGAGCTTGCCCTTGTAGGGAACAAGACCCCAAAATTAAAATAAATTTTATTTTACACCTGTAAAGTAAGAGAAAATGTCTGGTTCTGTAGACTTATGAAGGTATTCATCATCCAGGTGATCAAACCCTTTCTAAGGGTATATTTTCTTTATATGGGAAGATATATTATCCTTCAAAGTCTCGTGCCCAAGCATCAAGATATAAGTTTTCAAAAAGTTCTATGGTGT